AATACTTGAGTAACATCTGATTCTTACAACCCAAAAAAGCAAGTGGATCTTTTCCAGTCATCTCATTTGTTCCCTGTATTCAATCACCCAGCACTCATAGAGTGTCTGTGTCTAAGTGGCATCAGTAGACTTGCTTACAAACTGCCAAAACTATCAGGATGCACCAGGATTACTTATCTGCAAACCACTGCACAATTAACGTCATGTTATTTTTAATTTGCCATAAGACTGAATAGCTAGAGTTGAGGCCCTGGAGTTCTTGGTGTTTGCAGATTGTAGAAAAAATCCGCGTGATTCATTTTGTTCCACTTTAGGGAAGCTTCAAAGAGCGAAAAATAGTTTTACGAAGTATGTCCGTGCACAATGTAGCGTTTTCAACACCGTTACCAGAGCCTTCCGTCTCCCGTCAAGTGAAGCGTCGCCAAAGACGTACGGGAGAGGAAAATTGAAAGCACTGATAATTTATTCAGACTGATGAGGAGGTGGGCCCTTGTGACAAAATTTGACCTTCTGCAGACTGGATGCTGCTCCTCTTTTCAAGTCATTACTGATTGCATTGTAAAATATTCGAGCGCAATGCACACTGCAGGAAAATTAAAAAGTCGACCGAACTGTGTAGCTTCCGCTTTGTTACAGTTATTTTAGACCAACCACATGAATCCGAATGTCAGTGGAATGTGTATGATTGAGTTTTGCGGCCATAAGCAGGTGGGATGATGTGAACAAGTGCAAGTAAACGTAATAATACTGCAGCAGCATGGCACAGGTTTGTGTGCATAACATATAACAAATAACATATTGTTTCAGAAGAGCTTGGTAAACATTGGGTAGTTTGGACAACGTTTCGCTTTTGACACAAAAGCTCTGTCAAGCGAAGTGAACACGTCACCAAGTTATTAGACAGATGGGTACCATTCAGTATGTCCTCTTCAGATTATCACACTAGGTCAGTGTTTAGTGTCAATTAACGGCTCTCGTCGGCTATTGTGGTTGCCGAAGTCTTGAAATGATGGGTTGGAAAGATAGCTGGTTTCCAGGTGAGTCTCTCGCAAAACCAAATTGGTTTGCAAAAGGGTGTATTTTGCTTAGGGGTTAGAGGAGTTTCAAGTTGCTTCCGATCACATTTTGTTCCTTAATGTTCCGCATCAGGATGCTTCAATTGATGATTCACCTCGGGTGCCACCGGTAGAATTTCCTTGATCTTCGTGGCCGTATGAATGTTGCGACAATTTAATTGAGGAAGGGGAGATCAAATTTAGTATCGAGATAGATTTTATCAAAGATTTACTAATAGAAACTGTATGAAGATAGAGTTTATCAAAGATTTACTAATAGAAATTGTATGGAAAACATTATGACTGGTCACGTGGTAATGTAGGTATGTATCTTTTCAGGCCTCAAATGTTTCTCACTACCGTTTCATCTCCATAGATTTGAGATGAAATGAATCATAAAACCCCTCTGGGTAGCCTACCAACTTCTGTCCCTTGTCCAAAGGTCAAGTGTAACTGGAGTTTGAGCACAATTTTCAGAAATGCATTGGTAATTTTCGGTCAAATACAAGTTTATCTGGTGACGACTATCAGGTCTTCAATGTGGATAGATGGCTAGCTGTTCACTGGGATTTGAACTCTGAGGAATTATGACCTGTTGGAAATGTGTTTAGATTTTCAAAGGACAGAGAATCCCGAATTTCGAACTGTAATAATCGATCCTCTAAGTAGGAACTTTTTGTCAGAGTTTTGCATCTTGGTATACGTTGAGATTTCGAGTCATGTGTCTATTCCCCTGTTGGCCAGTAAACGAATTGAATAGTTGTTCAAACTAAGGCTTTTGACAGGCCTTTGATATTTTTGGGATGTTTACTGACTTTTTCTATGAAAAATGTTGGCAAACAAAGCATATTTCAGACTGTCACCGAATCTGATACAGAATCAAACCAGGATGTGTAATTTATCACAGGAAAACAGAGTTTGTATCCATTGTCTGAACGTCTCATTCAGGCAATTTGCAGCTTGGATACACAAGCAAGTTTGAAAACAATGTCGTGTGACACAGTGACCTACACCGTCTGATTTCCGCTTGGTATAATGTTCCTCGGTAACGAAACATTTGCAAGGAAAGTTTCGGAAAAGTTGGAAATCCCACTGGGACTGTCTGGGCAAGATAATGCGTGAAATCACTGCTGTTCTGTTATTTTTTTCTCAGTGGATCGTGCCACAAATGAGCGCTTGGTTTTGGGCTTCCAATCTTGTAGCATACATCGAGTACTGTGAGTTCAGCCAACTCAGAACAACCCAGGTCCCCTAGTATTCTACTTATCAACAGTATGAACAAACCCATTTTGGGCCTTATTTCATTGATCATCTCATACGCGTAATACCCAACGTCATGTGCAAACAACTGATTGCGTTTCAGTGTCACTGGAAATAGTGGTGAAGGAACATTTGATGTGGGTTCAACGAGACAAACTTGAATGGGAGGGTCACTGTTTCATGCACAGGGTAAAGAGCATTTAGACGGATGCGCAAATGCTTTAGTTCATGCTCCATCCACACCATTTAACTAATTAGCGCAGTTTTTCCTTTAACATATTTGCCATAAAACTCCATTTTTGTAATATTTTTTTAAATTCCTCATAAGGCTGAAACCGCTGAAAAGAGCTCATGGGCTTTTCGGCCTGAACTAATTTCACCTACAGGGTCAAGTCTCGTTCAAAAATTAGATTTGTTATTTGTTGTGTTGGAATTTGGATTATATATATATGTACTATAGCGTCCTCTGTTATGATTACCTGATGCTAGCTGTGTAGCGGAAAACCAGTGGTGCGTAGTGATGACAGAGGGGGTGTGACTGATTGTGTAAAACTTGTCCATTTGAAACCGCATAATCTTTTGGAAATGCACAGTTAATACTCACAAAATGGGTCAGAGGAAACTCAAATTTTTGTTACGGAAAAAAGATAACCTTTTGTATGCTCAAGAAGCCCCAATGAGTGGCACAAAACCCGGGGCTTCTTACGCCACCTTAGAGTGTTTTTCAATCAGGTTTCTTACTTACAATTTGAGAGATCTGTTTACATAAACTCTTCTGTATAAGTATATTGAGAAATCCATTCATAATATGTGGTACCGCAGGATCATTCGGTCATCATTGGTGCTTTCTTGGCAGTAGAATTACATTACTTACCCAAAGGAAACACCAACAAAATGTAACGAGTATTCCATCAAGGATAAATTTCTCTTTAACTCGACTGTTTAACTCGGCTTGGCTGGGAAAAACGATACTGGTTCACTGCTAAAGATAATGTTGGCTCATACGATGTAATTAAAAGTTAAAGAATTCTCACAAATGACTATTGAACTTCAGAGCCCAAGGATGAGAACAGCAGATATGGAAGTCGATGAAATGTACGAGTTATTTTGAATGTTTCACGGTATCCTCTTTTGAAAGGTTCAAACTCAACCATCTGATTTTGTTGTAGGCACGGCTGTCGCTTTTTCCAACCCCAAATGTGACTGGTTTTAGCAGTCATCCACTACATTCCTCTGATCCTTTTGTTCTTACATGACACGTCATTTGGCACATCAGATGATGAAGACACGTGCAATTTCGCATAGGCTCACCCTTTTAAGCTCGACAGACACTTGCCGAGTGGTTTACGCGTGCTCCAAGAGATAACATTTATGGTACAAATTTTGTAGCATTCCGCTTTTTTCAATTATTCTGAGATTCTCTGACGCGGATGCCTCCGCGTTTGTATCAATCTCACTAGAACTTGACCAGCCATCCATCATTCCTGCTTATGATTCTCTGGGGAACTATGGCACGAAACGTAGAACTTGGTTAAAATTTCAGCAGTAAATTTGAGTCCGACGGATGGAAAGCAGGTGAAAAGTGGACTGTTTGTACATCGTCGTTGATGGCGCTTTCCTGAATTGCCTGAAGGCCATGAGTTTACTAAGCTTATGAAATAAAACGCTAAAGAAAATGTATATAAAAGAGGACGGAACCGAATAAACAAGTAGGGAAGTATAAAATAAATTTAACAGTATTGTTCACATTTTCAAACGCCAGTGTGGGTATGTTTACAGAAGCGAAATAGTCCGTTTACATTAATAGTAGTTTGGAAAGTCCCCAAAAACGTTAACAACGATCTGGGAGAATGTTGGGGGCACTGAAACAGGTTTTGAATTACCTACGTCTGTCTGAGTATTAGTTTTAGCCAATTTATCAACATAAACTATCCGCGGAAAATTTTGTGGTCCGAAAAGTACACATCAGCAGACCAAAGTCGGTTCATTATTCTGACGAGTTACCAAAGGCCCTGAAGTGACTTTATGCAGGTCTCGCCTATTTACTGTATTGTGATGATTACCCTTCAGTAACAATTTTTGGAAAAAAATTGACAGTGAATGAACAGTTGCGCTTATATTACTACCTCCTTTTCCAAGGAGAAGACTCCTGCGAATGTAAATCTTATAGCTTTACGTTCGTTCACTGTTGTTATTTTGAAGACTTCGGTGAACTGCGTCGCATTTCAATATTCAAGTGTCTAAACTGCAGCGGTGATCTCGAGATATAAGTTTTGATTATGAAAAAAGCACAGCAGATCGATTAACGGCTTTGCAACCAGACCGGCATCTTTGTGTAAAAAAACCCTTCTCCATTGGTGTTCTATTCGGACTAGATGAGAGAAAACAGGAACTGTCTGATATTTTCTGACGATGCATGCAGGAAATGGTGAAAGGTGGGCTTGAGGAAATAGGTGAGCTTTTTGGACACTCGTCTCGCGCCGGACACCCACGCATCCATGTGGTAGGGGGGGCTATTGGTGTACAATTTTCAAACACAGTCACAAAACTCACCCGCCGACGTAGTTACGTTGCACAAAACAATCGTGGACTAGTTGTGCACCAGAAACGTAGGCTGCACAGTTTGTTTCACTCTCTCAGTGCTTTTCGGTACACAGTTCATGTACGTAAGCTGAGTGCTGCGTTATGGAGTCTGCGATTACATCCAGTATGGAAGGTTCCACCGCCAGTCAGTGCAAATCCATGATTATCACTGTGGATTACTATGAAATGTGAGTTAATATTGAAATAACTATTGGCAAAACAGACTGTGTAGATGTTCAGAGACAAATAGAGTTCCTCGAAACTTTGCTGGTGTCTTCACTGAGGCCAGTAGATGCATGAATACGATGGTCCCTGGGTTTTACTTTCAAAGCTTATTGCCGTTTCTCAAAGGCCTTTTCCTTGAAATACTAACAAACTCGGTAATCCAGTTATCTCCCTGCTTTTCGTCCCATATCAACCGAAGGTTTGTAGGGTCAGCGAAAGAAAATTTAATACTTGCCAACTAAAAATCAGTGCGTTCACAAATCCTGTCTTTGAAATCTAGCTTTCGTTGGGTTTTACATGCTCCCTTTCGATCCTTTTCTTCGAAATTCCATGTAATGGAGAACTTACAGGTCGAATTCAGTTTACCCAGAACTTGAAAAACTTTATGTCCTATATCTCTTATAAATTTACACATATTTTAGCGGGCCTGTGGATACAAAACAAGACTGCTTTTACTCGTAAACGGACAACCTGGAAACTTTTAGTTAACTCTGAGAACGCTACTTCTTGTTTACAACACAACCGGCTTCGAATCTATGGTATGGACCTGGTATATTTCTTTTGGTCCTAGTTAGAAACAATAAGGTTGATGGAGAATGTCTTGGAACATCTGAAGGTGATCTCTGTTTAGCAGACCTGATACTAGGTGCAACAATTTCATGACATTTGTTGTCCAAAAAGCTATACTAATGAGTTGTGTATATTACTGTACTGCACGCATGCATCGTGATCACCATCATTTTATGGATTGCTTGTTTTATCTCGGGGAGGAAGCCCGTCGGAAGGTCAGTTGTGTGATTCGACAATATCCTGACTGCTCAGTTGCTACTAATGTCACAAATACGTGTTGATGGCACGTGATTTACCATATCCCAAGTGAATACTGAAGGCCAACTCAGCAGTAATGAAAGATTGAACAGCATTTATCCCGTGATATCCTTTTCACGCGATTCCACGTTTCGACAGAAAGTTATAATCCGGCTTACAATACTACATTCAGACTGATGTTCTAGGCATGTGGTCAGAAGAATTCACAGTAGTCGTTCGTTTTCGTCATCCAGGTATTTTCTGATTACAGTTAGTGAATAAAATTTTCCACTTTAATATTCCAGTTTGGAAACATGTTGATGCCACTCCGTAACAAACAGTATAAGTGGCGGATCAGATTAAACTTGGCAGACTGATGTCTGCACTGACTAAGGTTACAAAGCAAATCTGAAGCATGGGTTTGCTCACGTCAAGTATTTCAAACGGTATCGATTCACTCCCTTGGTGACTGTAGTGCCAAACATAGACATTTTATTGAGTATTTCTGTTATCACTCTTCAGTAGATAAACGTTCTTCGGATTGTGAAGTTTGATAAGCATATGTAGTACATTCATCTCCAGCGTGCTAATCTGCTTCGGTAGGGTTCCTGTCAGTCTTGTGGGTTCATTCTATGCCTCTCATTCAGTGCCGTCCCGCACGAACCGGATTATATATGCCGACAAGCCGCTGGTTCTAACTTTGACGAACGAGCTTGGATACATATTTTAATTCGCGGACAAGTTTGACGGTGTTAGACTCTATCAAAACACCTGAATTTCTAGCGTCAGGGTTCCGGCAGGCCACTTCAGCGGTTCCTCCCGTGATTGAATGGTACTGACCCATATTTATTATCATTACCGATAATACGTGTTAACTTATTGGTTTTGAAGTCTACACATATACTGTGGGTTACGAGAAGCACTGCAGCCACCAACACATCTATTTCAAGCTACATCGTAATATAGCGTGGTGCTCGGCCATTAGTTTGAATGCCGCATAAAGTGGGGCAATACGATTAGTAATAAACTTGTTGCTATTAACAATCTTAAATAAAATCCGCCGCCAGCATCAGCTTTTAGAAGGTCCACCATTCGGTTGGTAGCTTCAAACCTTAAAATACACGTTGTAGTAGAAATTTCCTTGTGATAGCACAGATCTCCATGGCAATTCTCCCGATTCTCATGCTGAGATGGTAGCTCTCAGTATTATCGGAGTGTTTCTTGGAACTCAACCATACAGATAGACATAAGAGATAAGCTTACATATTGACAAACCTACTTGGGTGTGCTCAGTGAAGCTGCACATCCGAACACCACTGTAGAAGAAAAACAATAGTATTTGCTGTAAGAGTGGAGATCGCTAAGCAGTTAAGGCTCAGGGTAACAAGACCAGTCTGCCTCTCTAGGTTGAGTCTAGATTTAAGTTGCGATTTGCCACAAGACAGAAAGTCGGAGAATAGTTGACCGAATTTTGGGAAACAGAGCGTGAAAAGGCTTACCGAAATTCTCAAGTATGGGTTTCATGCTCCTCAAGACCAAGGCAGGATGTTCACTTTAGAACCAGAAAACGTTTAGGTCCCCCAGTCACTATCCTGACATTAACAACTAATATACCTTGTATTCATTGATCTCTGATGTACAGTGTGTCGCCAACTGCTTTTTATTACACCAGTGATTAACTAATGAGATACAGGTAAGAGATTTCGTTTGCAAACAGTTTTGTCTTGGGCAAGTGCCAAAGCCAGTTGAAGAGTACTGGATTTCGAGTTAATCAAATGGTCCAGCAGGCATTGTCCTGAATGGATAGTGTTACAGCTTCTTGGTACAAGAAATCAATTTCTGCTCAACACGTTCCAAACATTTCCACCATGATCTTTAAAAACCTAATTCGGGTAACTGTCAATCTGTCCATTATGGAGGAGCTTATCAAACGGGTTAGTTTTTCTCCTGTGTCCACAATACCCCATATCCAGCACCAACCCTCACTGCTGTATGCCATGTGGTTCCCTGGCAAACAGGTCCTTGTTCTCACAAGGGAAACTAACCACAAGGTAACTAAAAATTATTCGGTTTCGTCCTTCTTGGGTTGAAACCCGTGTTTCCGTCAGTATTATGTTCTACTCGAACCAAAAGTCCTAGTTCTGTTTACTCTGAGTCCAGCTACGAATCCATGCAATCCAGGCTTTATAATACGCTAGATTTTACTGGGTATTTTTCCAATTGCCGAAGGTGTACTTGCCTGCCGGTTTGGATATTTCTCACAAGAAGCCATTCTGGATTCCACGAAAGTGGGCAAGACCTTTGGAAAGACAAAGGGATAAATTGGATAAATTGACTTGCGACTTTTGTAAATACGATTGTTTGAACAAAGGTATGTACTCAAAAGACGGTAATTCAGTCATCAATGCGTTACGAAATTTGTAAATTACTGTTGAAACAAACCCTCATCTCTTGCCAAGGACAGTCACATCAGAGGTGTGATCACTGAGCTCAAGGTTTTGCCTGGTTGAAGCTTGTCAGAGACGCATATCCTTGACTGCGGAATGCTTGAACCTCAGAAATTTGAAACTCTAAAGAGAATTAATCCAGCAGCACAGGCCTGGTGCACTTGAATCACCCCGTCACAGCAAGCAGTGTCATTCACACCTGAAGTGGTTGGCTCAGTAAACCAAACGACGACTCATTAAGTCCATGATCCAAAAAATGGTGATATTGATATCAACTCTGAAATTTACGCAACCGCCGGGGGCTAGGCAACCACATCTGGTTGGTTTCAAGTGTTCACAGTGCTGCCTGACTGAGAAGTTCTCACAGACGGTTCTGTTGGTCGATGCAGTGAAGACAGCCACTAGGTGGTCCATCCAGGCGTCCGCTTATCGCCTGATAATGACTTACTATTTTTGTTGGTCTGCGTCCCTATCTGGGACCGGATTTCAACCAAGCTGCGCACACGAAAAACTACGCGAGATAGAGAGAACACTCAAGTTGGGCCGATATTCAATGCTCCTGTATCACGCACATGTTCGTTTGCTGTGAAGAAGACACGACTACAAAAGGCACACTAGAAAGCTGACAATACCGAACACGAGAGGTCGTTTGACAGGTTCGGAGACCAAGGCAGCAGGCGACGGTCTGATTGGGTGTGGAGTGGAGGATATCAACGTTCAGTTAGAGTATACCGCTGTGGATCTGGGTAGTGGCTGACGCAGATAACGGATAACACAGTGGGAACGTGTCCTCATGGTGCAGATGCAACGAGAATCGTCACCAATTTGTGTGCGGTTTGACCGTACGTCAGGTGGCCAGATTTTATCTCCTGCTAGAATTCACTTCGGTAGGAGTGAAACCGGAGTCTGAAGCTTCCTCTTTTTGGTGTGGGCTAATCGAAATATGTGCACCAGAGTTGAGAAATGTTCAAAGAATGGTTGCGTGACTTCTAGACATCCAATCAGTTGAAAAGAGGAAGGAAGTTGATTCCAAACTTCGTCGCAAATAAACCTCTTTTTCAAATTTAACTAGGAAGCACGAGGTGTGACATAAGTAACTCGAATAGAAATGAGCATAATAGGACAATGTGCCATTTCAAATTAAGGCACCAGCCCATCGATGACGAGAACATGAATGACCAGCGGCATAAGCTGCCGGAAAGCTCGCTCACCATTTTCATGAACGTAACTCTTGTAAATCACAATCATTATTTCACTTCTGATTAGGAGTTATGTATTACAGGTCATGCAGAAATCCATAGTGCATACCATGATGTGATAGTATAAAGTAGAGATGAATTGAATTCAGTTTTCCTTATGCATTTTGTTTACCAGGATGAAATTCACGCACTGGAATCCCAAATTCCATCAGCTTGCCTCGAAACTAGCTGGTTTGTTGTTGAGAAATCAACATTCCCGGACAAATATTCAGAGTGATGCCTGGCCTCTAGCCCAGCTGGTGCACCTACAAAGTGACTTACTGGACCCATTTGATCTTTCTGCGTCAAACTCCGTTGCACATCATCTACTAGCGGCTATTGGTATTGATCCGTCTGTATTCAAAACGGCCAACTCCTCCGGTGGTGTCACACCTTCCCGTAATCAAAAGTCGAATGAAATCATGACAACTATAGTCCAACAGCTTGTTCAGCCAATCAGACGAACGGATCCGATTACTCACACGCCAGACCAAACCGATTTTGTAAATCCCGTCTCAGGACTATCTAAATTACTCATTGAGAGTAATCCACAAGTAACAATATTGCCTTCAGTTTCAATTACCCCCGTGTATCCACCACTATATCCACCCTCACATCAGATGCTCATGCTTGACCCGACTAGGAATATGATGCTGGCTCCTAAGAACTTACGAATGGTGACATTCAGCGAACAATTAAATAACCTAGCCCCTTACGTTCACTCTAATCGGTTCTGCTGTGAGAACGCACTGCAATTCATAGTGTCTTCTTTTCACCACGATCTAATGAGTCCCATCAAAAATACCTTCAGCACAAACCAATTATCTCATGTGGCAGTCCATTCACGTCCCAGTATGGTAAACGAAAAGATGAGGTGCATGCTGTCACCAGACGTGACGGATATACAAGCGTTTCGATCCATTCTTCCAAATGCTCAATCCAGTTCACTTGCGGACCTACGACATACCCTTTTACCCAACCCACTGTTTGGAGCGCTGAATCACCTCCAAGTGGCAAGGAGTCCACCGGCTCTACTAACTGCACCTGTAGCTCCTAGCCTGGTACACCCAGTATTACGGCCGAATACGGATGCAGAAATGCAGTCGTGTTTACTTTTTAGTTCTACTCCGGTGACTACATGGCGATTGCCAGGATCAATGTACATTCCCGTTTCGAACCAATTGGGACCATGGATCTCAACATGTCGTCTTGAAGTACTGCTGACTAGAGATGAAGCTAAAACTCGCTTTATGTGCTCAGTAAGTGATTTCTACTTGGTCACCTTTTCAGTTCCTCATTCAGCATCACCGAATGGACGATCCTTCGTAATTTCCTTAAGGTGTGAATATTTGCGCATTTTGTGGGGTAACAAACCATTGGTTTAGGGAGAATAGCCTTCTAAGATGGCAGCATCTGAACTAAAATAAAATTGCATAAGTGTTTCGTGCAGAAAGAAAACGTATACATATATCAACTTACGGCTGACGTATATTTACATCCGGCGTGCGAACGAATAGGCTCAAGGACACAATGAAAATATGTATTGGTAACGTGTTGGACTGTTGGCTGCTCGGGTGCATTAGCTGGTAATTGATCAGGTGACTGTTGATCTTGGCAAACGTTTCGTCACCATTCGGGGAGACATCTTTTATGCGCTGAAGACGTTTAAAAATCAATTGCCAAGCCCCACGAACAGATCAACAGCCACCTGGATATATATATATATATATATATTATATATATATATTGCCTTCGGACGGTTTTCAAGAATAGGTAGAACAATGAGCTGCTACCAAAGCTAGCAGCTCCACCTTGCACGAAAAATTCACGTCGCCGAGTGGATTGACCGTGCGTCAGCTGTGACTCAAAATTTTCACTATATTTTCTGGGTTCGTGTTCACAGCAGAACCCTCTCACAGATGTGTTAGCCTGCCCAGAAAGTGTTCCTTATTTTTCCCGCTTCACTATGTAGTTACCCTTTTTCCTCTGAAAAATACGCTTTCGAAAACTAATCAACTTTATCAATATCCCAGGCTTTATTTGACCCTCATGACTGATTATTTGCACAACTGATTTCTGCAATAATCTATTCCCTTGACTTCAGACTTGTGGAAGACAGTGGACATCAATGAAGGGATCCATCACGTTTGTTGTCATTCTTTCACATTCCACAACTGGTGCGATGCAGAGCCTTCAATGGACCATTCAGCCCGGTGCAAACGTCTTCTTCGAATTATTTCCCCAATCTTGCAGCGCATGCGATGTGTTGTGTCAACCAAAATGGTATCCAGAAGAAATAGATAAAGTGAGTAGGAACGTAAGTTATTCCGAAGCATTTCTGTCGTGTTTTCAGTTGGTTGAAAATTTCCCTCTTCTCTCAAACCGACAAGTTTCAAAATGTGCTTTTTCGTTTATCCGGTCTAACATACGGGGGCACATTCAACCATTGCTGGAATCGCTCAGCTAAAGTTAATAGTACTGTTGGTGTACACATTTTCTAATGTATTGTTAGTAAAAACCAACAGCTTCAGTATTATTCTCATGTGTCAAAGGCCAGTAGCACCAGATGGACAATCGGTATTGGATGGTGACCGGTTGGATGGCACAAATTTATTGAAAAACAAACCGTGTTCGGACGGAACGCTGTTACTTGCCAAATTAATTTTTGGAAGAGGGATATATTAAAGTGCTAAACACCTTAGTACCAAGGTGTGAAATGGTAGTGTCACCATCCTGTACAGTTTTCCCCCCGAAAACCAACAAGCACTCTCCTACAGGTTATGTCTTTCTTTGAATATATCGGTTATACGTTCAACCCGTGTGCACCAGATAGAAAGTGGCACAAAAGAAGTGACACTGAATTAACTGATAAAAGTTCGGAACTGATTAAAAGGGTTTGGCAAACATTCGGTGGTTTTACACTTTGGCAGTTGATCGATCGTTATGAATGTCATTCGAAAGCTATTGTCTTTTGGTGTGGGTGCCCAAATAATACAGCGCCATTTCGGTGACCCACTCATCTGGCCTGACAAAGTTCTTGTTCCGAAGGCGAAAATTTGCCCGGCTATAAACCTACCGACTGTCTACAAAATCAATTTGAATTATCTACATGCTATGAAAAAAACGAAAAAGAACGTTATCCTGTCACCGTGGTGGCTAGTTAACAGGGGAGTAGCCTGGTATTCACTGCATATAGTTTAGAAAGACGTGCGTCTAATTTTCGGTGTTTATTAGTACTGTAAATTAAAGAAAAAAGTTTGGGCTTCTGGTTTGCACCAGTGATTGGTGACGCAATGCTCTCTGTTTCACCAGTCCATATAGTGATCCGTGGAATTTTCCCCTATGTACTGCAAGCAACACACCCTCTTGAATCACTTCATTTCATAAAAGCTCATATGCACATGGAAACATGAAACTGGCATAAAAGTTTGTATCTGGATGACGCTATGTCTGTTTGTGATCTGCCACCCTAAGTCGGCCAGTACCGTCAAAGAATCGTGTGCAGCTTTAGGCCTGTCAATGTCTGCTCCGAGCCCCACAATGCTAACGAAAACCACAAAAACCACATGGTGGTTTAATTTCATCTGACAATTTTCACTGGATGAATGGGAATTTTCTTGTACTTGACCGCAGCATTCCAAAATAAAGGCCTGTACTAGTTATGCATTCCATTCATCTAAACATCTCCATGTTTCACTACGGTTGGAAGCGTTTGCAAAAATGCTTTCGAAACAGAAAGATAGGATTGTTCTCTGCCTAAAAGCGGTTTGTATTCATGTTTGCTTTCCTTGTGTGGGAACAGCACTGCGTCGGCGTATCGCTGAACCAAAATTTGAGCATTTCACTAGCCTAACGATACATTTTGGAGTAAATATTTGTACACATGACGAGGATTTTGACGGTTTGTTTAACAGTGAGCAGCAGAGTGCAGAGTAGTCCCTTAAAAGGCGACTAATTGTCTCCGGATTGACCTTAATTGATTCCTTTTGCAACTCCTGCGGGAAAAGTCGTGTAAAAGTATGGTAAAAATTGACATCTATCACGTACAGTGTTTGGTTTCAAATTTTTGCACAGAATATCCATATTATTAGAGTCTTTTCTATAGAGGAGACAGCTGTCTAGTTTGACTAGATTTAGCCCATTTTGTTACTGCCTCCGACATGACTTGTTTCCAAAGTATAATCTTCTGTGGGACTTGGAAGGCCTCCTAGTCGAAAGTGGGTTAAAGACATCTGAGACAAATGACATGCTTTATTACGGCATTTGCGGAATCCGTAAGAACCTATCACTCGAAGTAATATCCAGCGTGGATCTCTCCGAAGAAGCCATCTCACCGTAGGCTCCTCATGGATGCCGGTTGGTCTATGTCGCTCGGCCTATGTACTTCTGGGGATACCCGAAATAGGACACCAAGACGTTAGAATTCTGCCTAGAGTACGCTACCAAAAATTCACTAAAAACGCGTCAAGTGTCGTCAAACCGGCGAACACTCTTGTGTGAGACATTGTCTGCATTACTTGGAAATACATAAAACCTTCCCGTCAAAAAACGATTTTTTTCAGACGTAATAATATCTCATAGTTTTTCACCTTATAGTATCCCGCTGTACACGCACCCGGTAAGTTTCTTTTGTCCTTCTTGTATTCCTCGGCTTTCGGAATTTCGGAATTATTGCCGTTTGCTTGTGCTTTACAAGAACTCGCACCTCCTTGTTACAGCTAATTGGAAGGAAACGTACACTATATTGTGTTTCTGTCGTTGAATCTAAAAAAACATCCACTTATCACAAACAAACGTGTCCGTTAGTCGGGGACCGAAACTTTTTCCTTGAATAACGGAGTTGCCAGTTGTATATCTTTTGAACACCGATTCACTATCGAACACCTTAGTGAAACAAAGATGAGCTTGGTCGCTACACCATTAGCAACCAATTTCGAAGTTTATTTCCTGATGATTCAGGAGCATATTGCGAAAGTGGGGGTTTTCTGGTAATGTATAAAACGAAAGTGAGAACTGCCCGAAAATTTACTTGGCTAATACTGTTTTCACCCGCCCCTAGCTTTCTGCTGCACGTTTAATTATGAAGCTTTACAACAGAATCCACGAAACATCCGACCAATATTTTGTTTTTCACAAAGACTGAAATGAAAAGGTGTGCTAAATGTGGGGAAAATATGAAACATTAGCTGGCGTTTGCCACTACACCTGGATAAATTTGAAATTGGATAGGATTTTTGTTCCTTATAACTCATTTTGTCATAGAAGAGATCTGAAGAGGCAGGCGAAACTCTCCAGTCAATGCAGTTGCCAGCAGTATTAGATTGCCCTTTCGGAAGAAGCTATTATGGTGGTAGACAAGCTAATCCTTCACCAGCTCTTTGAATCTTGGTCAGAAGTCTCATTCTTCAGAGGAGGAGCTCACCCTCCACCGTTTCATTCAGATGGTGTCCATAGGGAGTGTTTTCAATGCTTATCAAAACGGTGCATGTTGAAATTGTCGTCCCCAGCAGCTTTCTTCATGCGTCTGCAAGAGGAATGTAAAGCAATGCAACAAGATGAGAGTAGTATGGGACATCCAGGATAAACCGTAATTCAGGCCAGAAGGTTAGTTGGTTAGTTACTTTTACACTGGAGCAAGCCAACTTTCACTTTGCAACAGTACGTATGCTTTAAAAAATATCTTGTAACACCACAAGCCTAAATTGTGAGTTGCAAATAAGTTACCAATTTCTTCTTCCATTTGACACTTTTCAGCCTTGTTTAAAGTGGACAAACACACAGATACTTATGGATCTTCAGTAGATGAACCGCTAGTAAAACAAGACTTCGGAAGGGAATGTTTTTCTTCCGTCTATTTTCCCAAGAAGAAATTTTACCAGGAACTGTATGTCCTAACGGGCGGAGTTTGCATGGCGGTTTCGAAAAAAACCGCCTCCAAACCAGCTATTCGAAACTTTGAGTTGCTGCATAAAAAAAGCATTCTAATACGTGTTGGTTTTGCAATTTTTGCTACAGCTAGTCGGTTTGTCCTTGAACAACTCACAGCTCCGTTCTAGGGCGCACTATCCGCTTCAACTTGCCAAATCGATTAGCTGAAATGATACATGTCCTAAAATTACGCAGTTGCCAGTTGCAAATTGATTTGGCCTTTAAGTAGGTGGTTGCGTGCGCGTCTGAGCGCTGATACTGGTTCTGTGGGTTCATATTTCACTGATTGTGCGAAAATGGAGTTTCAGAATATGCTTGTGTGCGCGCATGTGTTTGCGTGTGTGCGTGTGTGTGCAAAGCGAACGTCTAAAAGGCGTGAGAAGCGATCATTCGAATGGATTACTCTGGAATAGCTCGTGTGATTTCAAAAACGATGCGTTGAAGCCTTCCTTAATTAATGCAATGGTAACCCGTACACAGTTTGCCTATATATTACGGAAAACAGCGCTTTCGAATAACAGGACTGTCTGGAAAAATCTCCCTTGTTACGTGTGTTTCCCTAAAAACGTTGGGCCGTCCAAGCTACGTATATTTTTCGGTGTGGAACACCCACTATTCCGGACAACAGTTTTCTATCAAGTCAACACAAGAAGATGCAGCTCTAGACAGGATATACATCTCAACATTCACTTATAAGCAAACTTCTTAGTCACATCAAACAGAGGTTTAGTAATCAACAAAAGTGATAACCAGTCAGTCATTAAGATGTGCATCATTACCGAAAATCTGGTCCGCCAAACCTATGAATTAAGGACAGGAGAATTTAGGAAGTTTGTGGAATGAGCCAAGTATGCTAGACGTTAAGAAAGGTTTGAATGGTTGATAAAAGAACCACCAAGCTGCATACTGTAAATAGTTCTATCGATGGGAGTAGCGAGGATCTCCTGGGCCGCATCTACTGGACTTGACTGACAAGCGCCTGGCCGGGCTTAAGTAGTCTGGTGCTGTGTGAGGCAGTTCTGTGAAATGATGTACGTGACAGTCTAATTCCTAGAGACACTTTTTTGCGCTCCATTCATTAGGAGTTCTTCAGATGTCGCTTTTTTCGAAGTATTCATGCTTGTTAGTTTACAGCGAGTTCTTCCACGTAAGTACTGCTGCACCTGAGGAAATTTGCCATATTTCAAAAACGTGGATGTATGTCACCCTCAATCAAGTTTCATGTCAAATGGTTCGATGTATCGTAACACACTACCAAAGTTTCTTAGTGTGGTGATTCATCTAAATGGCATGAGAATGGCTTATAGAAACGAAGAAAACTTAGCAGATCATTGGCCCTTAGGTGAGTATTTTCGAGGTTAGACTGATTTATCTGCAACTTGAAGAAACGGGTTTCACATCCTGTATCCCTTAAACAAAGAAACACTTGAGCATCTCCGTACATCCAATGCATCCAATGACGCGACAGTTATTAATATCCCCATCTAAGCGTTTGCTACCGATCAGACTTCGAAAAACCGAAATTGCTATTTATTTTCTTGGAATTTTCAATATGCTCACCAAATTCCTTAACAATATTCCTTTCTTTGAAGTTTTCGGCTGCAATGCATCTGTACGGGCCATTCTCAGAAACCAATAAGGGTTGAGTGTTGATTATTGAGTATCTATTTCTACTAACCTGTGGACTATCCTGACTTTCTGGAAAGAGGCATTTTCCTCTCAGCAAATTTGCTACGTTTGCCATAAGTTATCGATAAGCCGGGTACACTGTTTCCGCAGCCGATCCTCGCTATTGCCTCGGAAGGTGCAGTTTGAATGGAGTGATCAACAAACCCCAGTGCTGCTTACTAAAATCGAGCGTTTTGAGTGACGCAATACGGTTTTGTATCCCAAATAAACCACAGTAGATTTGCATATATTGACAACGGACTTTGCTTGGTTCTTCCAATAGTAAATAAAACCTTGTTCAGTGAACTGGTCCATCTGAGATTCATTGTGAAAATTAAACTCAGTAGATCATTCAAGTTGTTCACTCACCTTACACCCCGTGCATATTGAAATTTTGAAAAACTCTTATTCACAATAGATTTGTCAGATTCTAGAGTGTACACCTGAAGAAGCCAAAATTCATTCGTTTGTTCACAAAAATGGAAGGAGAACTGCACAAATTCACCGGTGAAATTTGAGCTGCTTCTCCCTTATTTGATGCACGAATCTTAGTGCTTATATCCCGAAGTTCCTGAACTTCCAAACTGCACCGTTGTAGATCTCTTGGAACACACGGATAAATGAACCGGAATAACCAAAGGAGACAGTGTTTTGGTTGCACTACTAAAAACATTCTGTCGCATCGCGATAAAAAGTGGTCCACTCAAGATTTCTGAAGTTCAGAAGTGATAAACTAGATTTCGTATCTTTTGAAGGGTGTTTCCTGCACGGATAATCTCCTCCGGGAGAAAATGGATCTAGCTATGCCATTGATGGATGAATTCGTTTTTCCTTGGTTAGTTTCCAAAAAGTCTGGAAACAAGTGGTTTTTGTTTCATTTCGGAGATCATTTGCCCGGAAAAACGTACTCGAATGCGTTTCGATCTACGATGCATTTCACTTTGATTTATTATATTTATTCTCATCTTTTCATTTTTTTCTCCGGTATGTGTTTTCATAGTTAGCTATCCTCTATTCACAGTCGTAGCATCAAGTAATCACCTTACTTTTGCGCCCAGTGTTATTGTGTTTGTCTTAAGCAGGATTAGCGTCTGACTACTTATTTCTTTTAAAGTAAGCAATTTATCAGATGAGATTTGTTCAGGTGCAACGGGTGGTCGTGTACGGGTGGACATGGAATCGTTGCTTTCTCATGCTCAATTGAATGTGAGTGGTACCTTTTCGTGGTACCGTGGCCTATTTCCTTTCCTTTAACCACACATGCGATTACCCAATTTATTTCCTTAGACAGTGTGCATCCATCAACTGCTCGAGGTTGGCTGTAGTTCCAAACTACATTTTTGACTCCAGTGCTTACTAGTATCTGGTACTGTACATGCGAACTGACATTCCCCTGCGAATAAATCTGACAGCCATACTTGTGTACCTGTAAATTGGGAATTCTTTTATGAAGGCTATGGTATATTGAGTGCAGGGTAGCCGACCACGCTTGGTGAACTTGCTCGGTTAGAGTGAAAAAGCTGTGCGACTACGCACTGTACGGCAGTGTAATGCGTAATCACCGAGTCTGTATTGCTGCTACGGAAGAGCACACACGCTAATTTTCATATCATGGTCTTGGGCATGTCGATCCCTATCATACGTGTGTGTGTTCCATAATTTTCCTTCTTTTCGAAGAAAATAACATTACTGGGCTTATCTAGAGGAGCAAATGATGGGTTTTCTATAGTTAACCATTAGCCACTGAAAACGGCTCATCGTTATTGTGAGGCTCAGTAGTATTCCACGTTTTTCAACTGAGTGAACGCTTCGTTTGGATCTTGCGTCACCATATTTTAGTCCACAAGTTGCTGTTCAAATAATGTCTGGTTCTCAATCAATTGGGAAATTCATCACTTGGTAGAAAAACTACCGATCGTTTACGAAGCCCTCCTGAAACTCCGGTCCATTTGTTGGTTAGACATGGAACTGAGTTAAAAGAAGTTGAGAACTGCGAATGGACCACAACCAGGACAAATCCATTAGTGCACTATGTGCGAATATGTGAATGTCTGTGGATATTCCCGCTTTCGAAAGCCTGATAACGATAGACCTCTTCAAACTGGGTTGCGATCCCAAAAGGGACATTTTTAGCAATAGTCTCTGCTGCTCCAACCGGACGATTCGGCCGTGATTTAGTTAACGTGTGATATGTCTCATTTGAGAAACCAACAGCCTAGTTCTAGAGAAACATTCAATGGAGCTAATGAAAAATAAACGGTATTTCAAACGTGCAAGATGAATACACTTTCCCTGCAAAATCGCATGAGTTCGTGTAACTTCATGATATGTCATCCACATGGAAAGGGTAAGCTTGGGGTCGGGTATCTCACGAGAGATTTGAAGTACTTGCTTGCCTAGGTTATTCGTATAGATACAAAAAGCTACAATGCATTTATTAGTTGAACAGATTCCGTGTGCTGGTGTTTTTTAGCATCACCTTGCTTTTAGATATGATGGTCTATTGATTGTCGGTTGAATCGATAATGAGGAAGGTTCACTCCATTTGTTGTTAGACATGGAACTGAGTTAAAAGAAGTTGAGAACTGCGAATGGACCACAACCAGGACAAATCCATTAGTGCACTATGTGCGAATATGTGAATGTCTGTGGATATTCCCGCTTTCGAAAGCCTGATAACGATAGACCTCTTCAAACTGGGTTGCGATCCCAAAAGGGACATTTTTAGCAATAGTCTCTGCTGCTCCAACCGGACGATTCGGCCGTGATTTAGTTAACGTGTGATATGTCTCATTTGAGAAACCAACAGCCTAGTTCTAGAGAAACATTCAATGGAGCTAATGAAAAATATACGGTATTTCAAACGTGCAAGATGAATACACTTTCCCTGCAAAATCGCATGAGTTCGTGTAACTTCATGATATGTCATCCACATGGAAAGGGTAAGCTTGGGGTCGGGTATCTCACTAGAGATTTGAAGTACTTGCTTGCCTAGGTTATTCGTATAGATACAAAAAGCTACAATGCATTTATTCATGGAAAGGGCTTGGGGTCGGGTATCTCACTAGAGATTTGAAGTACTTGCTTGCCTAGGTTATTCGTATAGATACAAAAAGCTACAATGCATTTATTAGTTGAACAGATTCCGTGTGCTGGTGTTTTTTAGCATCACCTTGCTTTTAGATATGATGGTCTATTGATTGTCGGTTGAATCGATAATGAGGAAGGTTCACCATAAAACGTCGCCCTTTTCGAATGCCTTGTGTCGATTAGATAGCAGACTATTTTCCCCACCTTACTCAACCAGTTCCACCGGCATGACTTCTTTCGAAAGTTTGTGCTTACTTGAATTTCTTGAGGTGAGCAGGTGCCCCAAAACTTTCTGTCCGGTTCCAAAAAAGTTATCACTTCTGCACCAACTAAGAAACTGACATTCAGCTGTCATTCACAGGCCATCATGACAAAAACAAAATGTCTTTGTTTCCGAGCTGTGGTATAGCTTATTTTTCTCGCAGCCAACCAAGTGTACACAAAAACACTACTAAAACTTCTGCCTGTCTACGGTAGCACTCCAGATTTGTCCTATCACGCTGTGTTCGCAGACAAGTGTGAGTAAAACAGAGTGTCAGTGGTCCGGCGAGCAGCATAGCATAGCCCACAATGACTGTTTAAGTCAGTTGATAAAACGGCCCATTACGGTGCACACAGTGGACACACTGTGCAGACAAACCAGGCTATTTCCCGGTAAGCAATCGTCGGAACATGAACCGACCAGAAGCTGTCCAGAAGCTTTAGCATATGTAGAAAGGATTCGTGTTGACACCGGTTGCACCCTGGTATGAACAAACGGTAAAACCACCGACAAATACTCACCGGTTATCCTCGATTTCACCCCTATCCCACCCATGACCCGACCCCTTGTGACCTAAAACAACCTTTGTTAGTCACTTCGCACCAATCGTTAAGTCTATCGCGCATTGATTTCTTCTTCACACCTCCCATCCGGTTCCGCGCTTACTAAACGGAGGGTTTCCTATCCTAGCGACAGCACCCATCAAAATGTTTCGTGACATTCTGCAAGTTCATGTAATCCTGCCGAATGTTTTGCTTTTCATGCGTTTCAAATTAAAGGGTAGTACCGTTTGTCTTCTCTATTTAAAACCATGGTCCTCCATTTTCCAAAATAGCGACAGGATCCGCAAATTGTGTACGTTTAGGTGCTCAACAAGAAGGTTGCTTAACCACGATAGTTTTACTCTAATTGGTGATGCATACGTATCGCTAGGACTGGAAACTAACCAGAAACCATCTACTTCGAATCCGGACCTGGTGGAAATTCTCGACGCGGTGTATTGAGCTGCATCTAAACATAAGTTACCCCCCGAATGACGGACACTCAAACTACTACAGGATAAACATAACTGAATGTGGTCTTTTTGTCTTCGATAACAGGTTATTCGTAACCTTTTCGTCAGGATCCATGATCAGTTCTACCAGGGTGTAATACCTTGGGACGACCAATGGAACTGGCATAGGCGGGACGGACAGCCTTCAGGTCCACACAATAGCACCAAATGTGTGGCTTGTCACAATGGACTTTGTCGTGGGGGGTTGAAAAACCATGTGAACCAAGATAATTCGAGTGGACACGAAACCATGGATCGAACAAAGAAAACCACGCCAGAAGTCGGAATACTGAACAACACAGCTGTAAGCAAAGATTCCACCGATTGTGTTAGTGGTGCCAGCAGTCCAAACGGCCCGCCTTCCTCCAAAAGAAGATCTACCATTATAGAAAGACAGTGATCTGTATCACCCAGTTTTAGTAGACTTGAAGAAATTTCGCAACAAACCCATTGTGATGTATTCCCTTGTTTCGAGACCAACTTTCGTGTTTGTGACCAGTGACCGATTGATTAAGCTAATGCATATTTATGAGCCTAAGAGTTTGATTTCTCTCGATTTGGTCTCCGTATTTAAAACAGTATTAACGAATGTGAATGGGTGTTGCCACATTATCATGACGGAATTCTAGATGAGCCATAACTTGTATTCGTCTCTCAACTGCAATGACTTGTGAATAAAAGTCTGTTAACAGTCCCATGTCACCAGTTTTTGAGGATGATCAGATGGGATTCAACTGAACGCCAGCTGATAAAGAGACATTTTCAGCTGATCAGGCTTGATCGACGAGCACATGAACGTGCCACTGACTAAAGGGATCATGGAAACAAAGCATGCGGTCCATTCTGTCACACACATTCGATGTGTGTGACAGGAAACTACCCAAACCGACATGTATAGGGAAAGCTTGATTCCTAAACGGGATGTTCGCTTGACTGCATTTATCTGCATTCTTAGCAGTGAATTATCTCCTAGTTTGGACATCAGTGATTGAAATACTACACCCCCTGCGAGGAAAGCATCCGGCTACAAGGGACACATTGAATAAGTTATCAGTTAATAATGCAGAGCTGACCACTTCACTTTCAGTTTTCTTTTAGGTAACCTCGGCGTTCTTATCTGCATTATACAACCCGATTTGGGCTCATTTCATTTTAAAGCACCGCTGTCTTGGAAAACAGCCGGATTTGAGTCAGACATTAGGCCTGATGTTCTTTATCGACTGTTTCGGTAGCACGGTATTTGAAGGAACAAAGGTTATCCATAGGAACGTGGAATGCCAAGGAGTCAAAATTTGAGTTATCGAATACCTCTAGGCGATCAAGAGCACAGTAAAACAGAAGGGGAGAGAAGCAGTCGGAAGAAGAAACTGAGAAGAAACCCATGCAGTTATCCTTCTGAGAATACAAATGAAAACTTGAAACTGTCCACATTGTTCCCCCGATAACTCCCTCTTGGTTTCTCTCGGTTTAACCAACACCATTGAATCTGATAACGCTTTTTTTGTGCTGCACAGATCAACTTCCGGGCGTATGCAGTTCCTTTTCAGTATTCTAGCTTTGTACACTATTAGGCGGCAGAAATCGATACGTTTGTTCATCGACGTGTGTGGTGTGGTAAGTATTAGGTGAAAAGCCACTCGCGATGAAATGGAGCTGTTCTCGACCTTTTTGGTGAGTTTTCGTGATGCTAACATGACTCCCTGCGTGGGGGGTCGCGCGCATGGCGAACAAGGTCCTCTAGAAGCTAGAAAGATAACAACAGCAATGTATTGAAGTGCTAAGGTCGCGTGGGCGAAACGTTTCTTCGTTTCTTCTTACACAATAGGGAATTTTCGGGACATATGTGTACAATAAACGCTAGTTCAGGTGATTAGTTTGGCCTCAAGAGTCAGTGAATTCCATTTTATAAGACAGTGTCAAAATAGTTGACCTATAGACTGAAATATACTGATGAACACAAACAAGCCATCACCAGACTAAACACTGATCACATGTCTGACATACAGACTAGACAAGACGTGTAATGATCCTGTCATACAAAGAAAAGTATATGCGTGATTCATGACTGCAACGAAATGACTGCTGTGCGGAATTTCCCGCAGCAGTCAATGACTAGTCTGAATCAATAGTAAATGAAAAAGCAACCCGAGAACATGAACTTTTCACCAGCCCCAGTGAGGACGAATCTACTGTCCACTTCTTTGATGATTATTGCTGGGAAAAACATCATGAGAGTAGACAAGTTCTGCGCTTGTATGCACTTCGTCCGCAGCACTCACACGGGGAGTTATCTCGAGGGCAATAAGTAACATCATCCCATCTACCTGCAGAACACTAGGAGAAACAGGAAGTAGCTCAGAGAAAGGATAATCTCACTGGGCGTATGAAACTCTGCCATGAGAAGTGGTCACTTGAAGAGCCAGTTAATACGTGACTAGACGTTGTGGTTACCGTTATTTAAGGATGAGTGAAGCCATGTCGTATTCAGATGAGAATCAACCATAGTGTTGATCAGCCACTCATGTCCAGACGATAAATTGTTCAACCACTGCTGGGAGGTTGCGAAATCAAGACTCTCTGGGTTTTATCAGACGCACACAAGAATCAAGAAATTGTACAATGCTTCTAGGTTTATTGGCATAGATTGACTTCACTGCCGNAACTGTCCACATTGTTCCCCCGATAACTCCCTCTTGGTTTCTCTCGGTTTAACCAACACCATTGAATCTGATAACGCTTTTTTTGTGCTGCACAGATCAACTTCCGGGCGTATGCAGTTCCTTTTCAGCATTCTAGCTTTGTACACTATTAGGCGGCAGAAATCGATACGTTTGTTCATCGACGTGTGTGGTGTGGTAAGTATTAGGTGAAAAGCCACTCGCGATGAAATGGAGCTGTTCTCGACCTTTTTGGTGAGTTTTCGTGATGCTAACATGACTCCCTGCGTGGGGGGTCGCGCGCATGGCGAACAAGGTCTTCTAGAAGCTAGAAAGATAACAACAGCAATGTATTGAAGTGCTAAGGTCGCGTGGGCGAAACGTTTCTTCGTTTCTTCTTACACAATAGGGAATTTTCGGGACATATGTGTACAATAAACGCTAGTTCAGGTGATTAGTTTGGCCTCAAGAGTCAGTGAATTCCATTTTATAAGACAGTGTCAAAATAGTTGACCTATAGACTGAAATATACTGATGAACACAAACAAGCCATCACCAGACTAAACACTGATCACATGTCTGACATACAGACTAGACAAGACGTGTAATGATCCTGTCATACAAAGAAAAGTATATGCGTGATTCATGACTGCAACGAAATGACTGCTGTGCGGAATTTCCCGCAGCAGTCAATGACTAGTCTGAATCAATAGTAAATGAAAAAGCAACCCGAGAACATGAACTTTTCACCAGCCCCAGTGAGGACGAATCTACTGTCCACTTCTTTGATGATTATTGCTGGGAAAAACATCATGAGAGTAGACAAGTTCTGCGCTTGTATGCACTTCGTCCGCAGCACTCACACGGGGAGTTATCTCGAGGGCAATAAGTAACATCATCCCATCTACCTGCAGAACACTAGGAGAAACAGGAAGTAGCTCAGAGAAAGGATAATCTCACTGGGCGTATGAAACTCTGCCATGAGAAGTGGTCACTTGAAGAGCCAGTTAATACGTGACTAGACGTTGTGGTTACCGTTATTTAAGGATGAGTGAAGCCATGTCGTATTCAGATGAGAATCAACCATAGTGTTGATCAGCCACTCATGTCCAGACGATAAAGTGTTCAACCACTGCTGGGAGGTTGCGAAATCAAGACTCTCTGGGTTTTATCAGACGCACACAAGAATCAAGAAATTGTACAATGCTTCTAGGTTTATTGGCATAGATTGGCTCCACTGCCAGGATGAAACCTCTATCTCACGTAGGTTTGACATACGGGGTAACGTACGGTTATTTGGTGGTTCGGTTTGCGTAGACTAAATAAAATGGAGTTCCAGGTGGTTCCTGGTGTACCAGACCAAAAAAATAACGAAATAGTAAGAGAGGGAGAAAACAGATAAAGCAACGCCGTCGACTAAACGCCTGCACTGTAGTACGTTTCATCATTGATGTGATGGGTTTCTGATAACCGAAGCTAGCTGACAATCGATCATCTGACTTACGAAGTATGTGACCGAGAGAGCACAGTTGGTACACCTGAATCAGGTCAACAGTGAGACAAATAATCGACATTCGGGGCGAAAAAGTCCATTCACTGCAGCTCAGTATTGTTAATCCGACGTTGTTACAGTACATTTGCAATGCCTCTAAAGCATCGACTGTCAAAGACATTTTGTAGCCATGCTTTCCGCCCGTTCTGAAACGATGGAGAAATTGCTGCAGAAAGGGTTCAGAAAATAACATCACTCACTCCGACTGCAATTATACTGTTTGGTGGAATACTCAGAAAAGAAAATTCGTTTGAAGTCTTTCTTGGCCCTATGTACATACGCAGCTTCCGTAGCATCCAGACTTACAATAGGAGCCTGCAGTGACAGAGCTCATTCCAAGTTGAATGGCGAATGAAGGTCATCGAGGAATGAGCTCCAAGTTGCTGTTGGGGAGACGGCGGTGGAATGACACGAAGCATCCCTCACTCCATTTGCGGAGCGTATGGTTTTACTTAAACCAGGTTGAGCTTGAACTTTAATTAGTTGATGTCTACAAAACTATAGTGACTGATAAATTGAGGCGGTCATAGGACGTTCCCTGTATAGTATTATCGTTCCTCAAGAGAGTCCTTACTCAGAGGATGTGCTTCCCTCAACGAGGGTGAAGTAGATCGATCCTAAATCTAATTGTACTTTGACGTATAGACTGTCTCTACAGAGCTGTGCCTCCAAGGAGGGAGCGTTCGAAAATATATTTGGTGCCATCGCAAAATGAAAGCCAGCACTTGGGCTGTCAAAGTACTGTACCAGTAACAGGTGTGAATACAGATAGTGTTCCTAAATCGGCGAAGAGGTGCGCTTTGTTGTAAAACCTCCGAAGTGTAAACACTGGTGACAAGAATTACTCAGTCCAAAACTCGACACCATAAGGTGATTATATGTGGTCAGAAGTACATTGAGCTTGATAAAGCACCGCATTTTGTTTGCATAATTCAAGGTCTGAAACCTGAATTAAACCGTATCAGAAGCGCGGTTCGGTTGAAGTAGCCTCAAGGCGCTGTCCCAATCAGCACCACATGGAATAAATTCCAAGGGTTGGGTTACGTTATCGACGCGTAGTTTATGCAGCTAGTTTGACAGTGTCAACTATGAAGCACTCGTAGTTCTCGGTGGATGTCCTACTGCTTTTTAAAGCCCAAAGAAGTCCAAAGAAGGGACAGGTGGGGCAGAAATCAACGGCAAGCTAGACTGACCGGCATAGGAACTTCAAAAATCCCAACGAGAATGTAAACAAAAATTATCCACTATTTTTCTTAATTCTGCTTGCTGTTATATTTGAAGCGGACGAAATAAAAACAACCCCATATTTTTATCAAAAATACCACTGGTGATACAATCGATCCGGTTTTCGTAACTCGTTCTGCACAATGACCACCAACTGAAGCAGAAAAAATACCGCGAAATTTTTTCTCAAATCGTCATTATCTAGCGTATACACTACCG